GTTTGAGTGTGTGTATGTATGTGTGTAGATGAGGGGTTGGAAGAAGAGAGGAGGGGGGGGAGGAGGGGGGTGTAACAGTTATATATGTGATCACTTACCAAATGAAACAGGAGGGCTGCGTTAATCAGAGGTAACACATAGTTAGACAAATCGATACATCCCTTATCACTGTGTGTGTAGGTGTGTACTTTACCACACACCAGCTGCTCACTACATTTTGAACCATTTTATTTATTTGTTCCGCTATAATAAAATATTTTAGTAAGAGGGACATCGCGCTACATTTTTTTGATTTGTTTTTCTTTTAAAATAAGGCAAAGCTTTGGGGTTTTACAAATTAAGGGTGCCATCAGTGATTGTTTTCTAGCTTTCTGCTGCTGTTTTCCATCGCGGTCGCTCATTAATTGGTGGAATATCAGGCTGCCGCGAGAGTAGTAGTTGTAGTTATCTTTCGATTTTGGCCTGTTCATTTTGCATCAGGTCCGAATATCCTTAAGGTTCTATTATGGACCGGGTCTGACTGTCCTCCAGCCCCATTTTTGAAAAGGACTCCTATAGATATCTGGTTTTTGTAAGTTCAAAAGGATGATGTACTAGTACTATGATGAAGCTAACATTAGCTACATGAGATGGTGTTTTTGTCAGTCCATTAGAGCAAATGTCATCACTAATAATTCATAGTTTACACAGGAATACAATAAATAATGTAGGTAATACTTTAAATGTGAGTCACCCTAACTTCTGTTTTTACTGATAGTTCTAGCAGTGTAGCACCACCACACCCAAATCAGACATTAGTGATGTACTGTTATGACACAACAGTCATAGCACTCTCTGAAGTAACCTAAAGGATGCCCAACAGGAGCTGATCTTAACATCTGTCACTAAAATCTTGACATAAAACTACTAAACACAGGTGGTTGTGGAGGAGCACACGTGTTTCCAGATGTAACCAAGGCTGCCACAAGATCCTAATGAGAGCCATTATTTTACTGATAGCACCTTTAATTTAAGAAGGCTGTTAGAAGTGCTGTTAACAGCTATGTAATTATGTAACTTAAAGTCCTCACCGATTTAACATTACAGCATTCCTTAAACATGAATGCTATATGTGATTCAAATTCAAATCTATTAAAAGCCGCTATGTGCAGAATTTGAACATTTAGGATTTTGGGTGTGGCGGTGCTACACTGCTTTGTTTACACAAACAACAAACCACACCAATTTCCACCAGGACTGTCACATTTTTCTCCAATCAGAAATGTGTCATAACAATAACTTGAAAGATGCTTAAATTACATAGAAATTCTACACGGAGCGGCTTTCAGCAGAGCAAATTATATGTGTGAATGTGTGTGTGCTTATGTGTGCATTAGGGCTGACAATCACAGTAACTGACAAACACTACGAGGTGATCATCGCCTAACTTCCAGCACACACACAGATCTGTTGTAGGAGTCAGCTTCCACCTCAGGACCTTTGACATGTCCATCACTAGCAGACGCATACACACACACACAGACATACAAGAACACACCATACATAACGGTTGATAAACAAGTAGGCATGCTTCATCACGGCAATGCTAAAGCCTAGATTGCACTCCCAAACGGACGTAGCGTACACGGTCAGCCGCGGACACCGCTGCCACACAGAGCTCTGTTTATATGATGTCCGTACGGAGTCTGCTTGGAGGACACGTTCCACACATGCGCGCTAGATCAGCGTCTACAGGAAGCTGTGCCCTTGTAGCACATGGGGCTGTGCAGAGCTCCAGACGGTTACAACAAACTGGAGGTGCACTCCACACAGAGCCTACATGCACTTTGATGACGATTTCCTACATGGGGACCAGAGTTATTGTAGTTTTGTCTTTTTCCAGAGTGGGTTTGCACATTTAAGTTTGGTTTGTATTAGCTTCAGATTTAGTTTTAGTTTTTTATTTTATTTTAAAATGGATCGTATTTGTTGTAATGGTATGAGAATGCAAAGACATTGACTTTAAAGACATTGCAGACATCCCAGTCTCAATAAACATTTGCACCAAAGGCCATGCTTGTGGTGTTGACAAATTGGACCACAGTACACAATATCTTTTTTTTTTTTCTCCTTTTATTTATAACTAAAATGTTTTTCACAAGTAGTTTTAGTTTTAAGTTTAGTTTTAGTTCACTATATTAACCTTGATGCGGACAGTGTAATCAGGTTAACAGTTCTAAAGACTGTCATCTCAGTGTGCCGTTCTCTCACAGACACATCTGAGCCATCAGTTAAAAATACACACACACTCCCGTATGTAACCACCAATCCACTGCAACAGAAAGTAACAGGATCACACACACTTGTTGGCAAGAAGAGATCTCTACAGAACATAAGTGTGTATTTCCACATCTGTGTGCAAGACTATATCCTCACACAGAACTTACTGGACGCCAACATTTGTTCAATACAGTTTCCTCTGCCCATGAATTCTCATATAGTGGCTGAAGCTTTTATTCACCTAAGCTAAATAAAGATCATTTTACAGGTTTACTTAATTGTTACTTTACTTAATTGCAAAGAAGAGAGTAATGCTGCAGCAATGGTTTGTAAAAATTACTGTATTGTTGAACATTTTAATATTTTGTTTTCAATGAAAGTGGCAAAAAGCCACTTACTCTACAAAGGAACAAACTACAAACCTTTCAGAGACACTTTTCAAACATACACAATGGGAGTCAATCCATTGTTCCTAGAGTTGCACTAAATGTGTGCATTGTGTTGGTGTTTGACATTACTTATTGTCATTTATTTTTATGTATTTAGTTTTGATTACTGCTTTATTTTCAATGTGTGTGCATCGAAGTCTGCAACTTGTATTTGGAAACACTGTTCTAGCCTTTCGTCTTGCTGCCTTCAATCTTTTCTGAAACAAAGTTTATCTCCTTCCTGTGACTAACAGCCACATACTGAGAATCAAGAACACCAGCCCTTCCAGATCCACCATTGTTTGTATGCTTGCATGTTTTTGTGTTGTATTGAAGATGATGGCACGGCAGTTTCACTGCACGTCGCTACCACAATCAGCTATGAATCCCACCTACATTGAGGGGATATTACCTGTAGCGGAAACCAAATAAAGAAAACCGCCCGGTACCAAAAGTGAGTCGAGTCGAGCGGTACCATGTAGTGGAAACGAGGCTTACCAAATACAGACTGATATAGAAAGTGGCCTCTGGGGTAGCGTTGTGTTAGGACAGATACAATGTAGAGAAGAAGAGGCAAACAAATGAACTGATCAAAAAAGTCCCCCCACTTAGGAGATATTTCAGAACATAGATTAGAAGAGAATGCTTTCACTGGCAGTCATTGTGTTTGGTAAAAGATCTTTTGATAAAGCCGTGTTGTCATGCATGCATAACCCGCTGCGAGAGCTAACTGAAAGGTGTGCATCATGCACCATGCAAGATGTTTATCATAATGGGAGTGATGAGCTCAAAGGCATCTCTGAAGTCAACTGTAATACTTCATCTTGTTTTGAACGTGAAAATAATACAACACACACAAAGCTCCAGTCTGGTCCACAGGACGGGATGAATCGACATAGGAGTAAGAGGTTTTCAGACACCACTGAAACTCACGTGTAACATAACGTTAACAAATGAGACAGCTGATATCTCATGTGTTATATAGCATCAACATTTGTGTTGCTCATATTCATCACTTCTACTGACACTCACCCCATCTTCCTCTCTGTATGGGTTCAGACGGTTGTATACTGCTTCAATAACATTACGTCTGCAGGAAGGACAGATACAAAAAATGTGATTAGGTCTCTTGAGGCTATTCAATTCAAACCATCCGTCAGAGCAACAACAGAGGGCACATGTGGAAGAACAAGTACGGTAAGGTGTCGTTAAAAAGAGGAAAACGTCTTGCTAGTATTGTTATGACTAAAAACTTCAGTACTTTCTATTCCATTGGCATTCAAAAAACAATACCTGGGCTGGACATACACACATTAGACAACCAGCAATTTCTTTTTTACATTACTGGTACATTTTAATACCAGCTCTGTTCTGGCCAGATGATGGGCTAAGCTACTGGTAATCAGAGACAAATGATGTTTGCCAATGTTTTATATTCTCCTTCAGCTTTCATCCTGTTATGACTGGGGAATAATCTACAACACGTGTATAAAACAACATCAAGTATCCTTCTGAGGGGGCGGAGCTCCTTACTTGCTGGCAAGGCCTCCCCCTGGTGGAAGAGTGGGCATGCCGCTGTCGGTGGACAGGTTCCTCATCACTGTTACTAGGTCCGGAAACCCGTCCTCCTCTGACCGAGACAGCATTTCTAAAACAACACCAGACGTTGTTGTTACATAAGTCAGTATTAACAGAGCTGGTGATAGCCAAGAACAGCTGGGAAAGGATAGGGGAGAGAGAGAGGGGAGAACAGAGGAGCCAGACCAAAAATGTGACAAACGAGGAGAAAGGAAGTAAATATGGAAACCGTACAAATGAATTTGTGGAAATGAGTGTGTGTCTGAGAGAGAGCGAGAGAGGGAGAGAGATGGTGACAGACAGAGGCCTGCAAGTGAGCTGAGAATGGCATGAGGCCAGGTCAATGTTCAGCCAGAGCATTCCTCTCCCTCTTTCTTTTCTCCTCTCTTACTATTCCATCTTTCTTTCTCTCGCTTTTCTTTCAGTATTAGACAGTACATGAAGCCAAATATCTAGTCTGCTTCATCAAACCAAATTTGTCCTGAAATTTCACAATAAAACAATCCTGCAAACATTAAGTTGTGTTACCACCTGCATTAAATAGTCTTAAATAGGATATTACAACACAATAGACACAGGTTCTTTGGTACAAGGCTAGTTAAAACACGACAAAAGTGTGTTTTAACTAGTGTCAGAGTTTAGGAATACATTTCTTGTTTGGCCACCCCTGGATTTCACAGACTAACAGTAGCCAGGGAAGAGAGCTGACCTAACCAACAAAGACTAGAAAAGCTGCACGGTGTTCATCAGAGGGCCTCATGCATCCTGAGGAAAAAAAAATGGGATGACACGAGTAAGGAAAAGACTGAAAGAGAGAAGGGGAACACTGAATCCAACCAAACAGGACAGGGAATGCTTGAGTGAGGGAGGGGAGAGAAGGATGAGTTCAGGGAGGGAAAGGGAGGAGAGAAGCGAACAGGGAATAAAGAGGGGAGATGCTTGCTGAAATGGAAAAGGAGGTCACGATGGTGTCATTCCTCTGCTGTGAGCCGGAGCTAACTTGGCTGGAGGCTAGACAATAGAGAGTGGCAGGGTCAGTCAGTGGAGAAAACATGCATACAGATAAGATACACACTTTCAGTTGGAGAAAGAAAAACCCTTTATAGGACCTGTTTTTGCCCCAACTACACCCTTTTAAACAACAGTATTAACTGTAACTGATTATAAATAAGAATGTAAACACATTCTTAACAGCTGCTATACAAGCAAACTGTATTTTTTTCACAGCTTACCACATGACAGTAACAAAGTACTTGAATACTCCAAAGCAGAAGTACATTTTTGTAATATTCACCAATCCCATTATACACATACACAAAACATTGGTTCCTCCCGTCCATTCTCACCTTCCACTTGAGTCTCCAGATATGTGTTGAGCTCAGCGTCTTTCCGCACAGCTTCCTCTGACACTTTGGGGGCGTTGGGCAAACACACTAACACAACACTCATGTTATCCCGACTTCCCTAAGATGGACGGGAAGGACAGAGGAACGAAGAAAGAGCAGGTAAGACAAGGAGTTGTTGTAAAGTGCTGAAAGAATTATGGTCTAAACTGCCCAACAAATGTAACTTTCTCCTTCATTCTTACATGAGGGACGATTAGTTATGTGCCTGGGCAATTAAAACTAGTTCCTCTCTTTAGAACTTTATGTACATTGATATGCATTTCATCATCATACAGTTCCCTTTGGAGTAGCAACACATTTCAGTCTCTATAAGCTGTTAGCAAACAGTGGCTATCACAGCAAAAAGAAAAAAAACACACAAAAGCAATGCTGCAAAACAAATCTGTACACACCTTGTGCAGGCAGGTGTCCACCACTTCATTGCAGACTCTCTCCAGGTCATCAGACACCTCAAGCCTAGATTTCACAAACTCACACAGCTCCTCATTGGACATGACATCCCAGATGCCATCACACGCCAGGATCACAAACTGATCCTGTTCAGGGGCCCGAACCATCTCAAACACTGCTGGTTCTGGGCTAACCAGCTGCTCTGTGGGCCCCTTCCCATCCACACACTTGTAGTCGTAGTCCCCCAAAGCCCTTGATACAGCCAGTGACCCATTAACCCTCTGAATCATCACTGAGCCGCCAGCATTCTGGATGCGCTCTCTCTCACGTGGGTTGCAAGGCTTGTGGTCAAGTGTGGAGAAGCACACGTGTGAATTGCGGTACAGAACAGCACGAGAATCACCACAGTTAATGAAGAAGAAATGATCAGGTGACAGGAGGATTCCGACTACTGTGGAGCCACTACGGTCCATGCCATTTCGAAGGTCAGAGAAGCTACGCATGTGCTCATCAATCCTCAGGAAGCCTGTCCGGATCCCAGATTTCACAGCCTCCACTGTAGGAGGAACCGATGCTGCAGGGTCAGTGGTGGAGCTGTCTGAACCGGCCTGGGAGCCTTGTGTCCCTCCTGCCCCAAAACTAGCGCTGATTATGTGTTCCAGAAGATGCTTAGAGCAGTAGTTGGCAACCCTCGAGCCAGCGTGACCGTCGTACACAGCAAAAAAGGACCAGTCAGTCATACCAGGAGCGGGAAGTCCCAACACAGCTGTGTGAGCATCCTCCATCTCCACCCGCCAGCCTTGCATGGAGCTCAGCCCATAGTGCAGGCCATTTCCCTCACCATGTGAGTTGTGCTTCTCTGTCTTGGGCTTGTCCAGGAACGCACCCATGGCTCTGCCCTAGAGAGACCCTACCTGTGGGGGAAAAAAGAGACAAACACAGGACAAAAAAAAAGAAAAACAATCAACGAATTTGACTTAATCAGTTCAGTGACTGCAGGTCTACGCCACAACTGTGATAACAATACAGTTTGAAATATTAATCCTCAACATTGTCTGGTTTGGTAGACTTTAGGACATCTCTGATGACTCGTGCTCACCAATTGCATTCTTTTGAACAGAAACAAAGTTGCCCCAGTTCCACTCTAAAAAGTCCATATACAGAATCTATACTTTTTTGGCAGTTCAACTACAACTAAAAGTGTGAAGAAAAGAAAGAAAGTTGTATTACTTTATCTTGTTCACAGGTATGCAACTAGGTTCTCCATTTCTACTGGGTATTGCACTGTATTGTTTGACCACTGGCCTGTGTATTTTGTTTCTGGTACAGACATTACCGAAAATATTTTGGCGAAGCTAATAACATTAATTATGGCCTCATTCAATTTAAGATTTACAAGTGGCAGGCCCCTGCATGCTGGCTCCACTGCATGGCTTACTGGCACATCTAATCTGAACAACAGTTAAATGAAAGGAGCAGCAAGACATAAAAAGTAGTCAGCTTACTTTATGTTGCAGAGGAAAGGTCATGTGAATCATCAACGTAAAATATAAACATTTTAGCACAAAACTAACATATTAAAACCTCCAGTTGTGTTTAGGGGTGCACAATATATACTGGGGCAGATAAATTATCAGCTGATAATGGGAAATCTATAGTATTGTAAATAATTAATGTTAAAATTCTAGTGCAAAGCAACTGATGGGCTTTATGTTCTGTAAAAGGCAAGGTATGTTTGTGAAGTTGTTTTTATGTACTTATTTGAACATTTGAAGTTTGTTTTTGTTGTGTTAACAATAGTGATGTCAGTAAAATTTGGTTAGGTCAGAGCTATGGAATATTAAATCATCTGTGTTTTGCAATACAAAAATGGGAAATTTCTTGTCCTATCAGCCATGAGAAGCAAGTAACAATAACGGTATTAGTGATTGTATCTGCTGAAGAAAAATCATTATCATGCATCCTTAGTTCTGTTGAATGACAATATACATTCATGTTGTTGTTTGTGGATTAAAAGGCTCAGTCTCAGCTGGCAATGCAGTGGAACAAAAACATTAAAATACCAAATATATAAAATAAAATGAAATAATGTATTTTATAGAATACTAATTTGGGCAATTCCTACTGCATATATTCTCTCAAATAGTATTTAAAATTGCAAAGACTGTACTGGGAGAAAGAAACATTCTACAGCTGCATGGGTAATAAAGTGAACTGAATTTAAGTAAGATGTGCAAAAGTGCACCTGCTCTCTAAGTCAGATACAGCATTTCATGACTTGTTTTGCCCAGGTTTCATTTTCAAGTTGCTGAATCAAGTTGTGCACATAAATTAGGCTTCCACACAAAATTATAGTGTTCATGCCTTCTCTCTCTCCAACAAAAACAGATTACAGACCTCAAGTGAATATTTGAGGGTCTGAAAAGGTAAACCCTGCAAATGACAACAGATTTTTAAAGAGACTGTGGGAGACTTGGACTGCAGTTTTTTTTGTGTGTTTCTTTTACTGTTTACTTAATAGGCCTGAAGGAATAATTCAAACCAACCAGCATTCATTGCTCATCATATCAGAAATAGCACAGCCACTTTGGTTTATGAGGAGCAGGTCTAAAAGCTTCTTTGGCCAGACAGAACTGGCTACTAAGGCCATTAACAAAGTCGAGAGGATGTGTTATCTCTCCATAACGGCACCTGCATTAGCTGAATGAACAGCAGCATTCAGGCTGCTTGATGGGAGAGATATTCTGTATCTCTATGTTAATTGTGAGAACTTATGCAGTCTTATTGATTGTCACACTACTTAATGGCCTCTTAGCCTCGCAAATTGCACATTAATTCCAGAAAATATCAATAAATGCTACTTACAAATAAGTTGTAGGCATACTCAAGCTTCCGGTCTCAGGAAAATACTGATATGCCACATTTATGTAAACGTGCTAAAGGTTACTTTTTTTTTTTTAAATGAATAAATGCTACAACATGAGTTGAACAAAGTCACCCAATCTACATAGAAGTGTATAGGCTGCCTTATTTTAATCGGTCTTACATCTCTAATTAATACCACTGTCTACACTGCCCACATGATGCCTTGAAATCTGGAGTCATCAGACTTTTGCGTGTTAATACATTACCCTCTATTTGGGCTGTAAAATCCTTTGTGAGTACACAGCAGTGCTGTGGCTTAACAGATACAGTGTGACTGTGAAAGATGTTTCAGGCTCTTCCTGTTAGTTATAAGACTCAAGGCACAAAGTTATGACATGACACTTTTATTTAAAGGCTTACTATCCGAGATTGGTCCATCTTGGTTTATAAACGCACCATTCAAAGTTAGCCCCTCCTCCACAGCACCAAATCAAAGTTGTTAACTATTGGAAAAGAAGAAAAGGTTAACCTGGACTGTTTTTGTGAGTTTTCTTGAATTTGAATGGAGGGTGTTTTAATAATATAATAATAATAATAATACATTTTATTTATAATGCCCTTTTCATCAGAGGATCTCAAAGTGCTACAGGTTAGAAACAAAAAGCAGTTTTTTAAAAAAAATATAATAATAATAATAATAATAACTAATAAAAGGTTTACAGGTTTACAGGTTAAACATCATTATTTAGTTAGTCTTAGTTTTTCGATGAAAGACCAAAAAAGTAAGTTATTTCCTTTCTTTGACATTTTGTGGGTTCTATATTGTTCAATAAAACAGTAAAAACATTCAATGAAATTTGTACTATAATCACTCTCAATTTACTCCAAAAACTGCTTCATGCAAACAACCCAGACACAAGTGATGTGAAAAATGTAAACGTCTGACTTGGACTGAAAGTTATCAAATTCATCTATTATTTCTATCTATCCCTATCTAATCCTATCTAATCTATCGTAATCTGATCTATCTATCTATCTATCTATCGTATCACAAGTCCAGGTGGTACAGAAATTATACATAATACACACAGGTATAAGTACTTTTTTGTTTAATTTTATAAAAGAGTGGATGATCAATGCTATCATGGTTTCTGTGACTTTCATTCTCCCCATTAAGTGAGATAAAACAGGTGTGTTTTGTTTTGCATATGCAGAAGACAAACACACACACACTGATCGCATATCAAAGGGTTGGGAAGCATCACTAGCGCAAACCACTTCAAGTATTACCTTGACAACAAATGCATTCGTGTGTGTGAATATTGAGCCGATATCAAAGCCATGTGAACAATCACCAAACCAAATCATTTGCTGTTTCACCTCTCCAGCAACAACACACACACTACGCAGAGGAAGACGCGCCCCTTCTATTTTGAGGCTCATACGTCATCAACACACAGCGACAACATGTGCCGTAAAAACAATAAATACCACCATACATCACTTGTAAGCACTGATGTAAGCACTGAGAACTCTGGGGAGTGATGTCACCGACATCTCCACGGTTACACAGCTTGGAGTGGCAGCTGAGTGGTTGCCTTGGCAACAGAAGCAGTAGGTGTTGCAGCATGCGACAAGAGGACGGCACAGCCATGCCACTGTGTGTGTGTGTACATTCAAGAGGCTGTTCAGAGTGCACATCATGCATTGCTGGGATAGGTCTAACAGCACACTGACCTCATTCATTTACTCACACCACACAACTGTTTCTCGCACAGAACGTATAGCGAGATGAAGTCAGTCAAAGTGGAAAGCTGGCTAACGGATCAGCCCACAGGTCTCAGACTTCAGACAAGCAGGGTAGCTTTAACAAGCTAACTCAATTTAACAGTCAGCTGCTGATGGGATCCACACAGGGTCAGATTAGCCTGTCAAACACAGACCACACGCGGCAGTGCACTACCGCTAACATAATAGCTCTCTCTATCCTGACTCTTGTTTGGTGACATGCAGTGAACAGAATGTGATATAATAGCCTCCATCTACATTTCAGATGACAGCGTCACTGAACAGTTGTATTGTCTTGTATTTGGTGGGGAAATGACAGAAACGAACAATGGACTGTTTGTATCATGATATGTACCGAATGAGCAATGAATTGACAAAATATGATCAGAATACAATTCGTCAACATGATACCTTGTGAAGGGGCTGATGGGAAATAAAGCACGATGGTGTAGTAAGAAGCCAGGTGCTGGAGTACTATAGATAGATAAAATATGCATTATTTGAATGTGGTTCCCAAAAGAGACGTACAGTCAGAAGGAGATACTGGTGCCAGATAAAGGTCCTCCTGTCTTATACTAAAAGTATAGTTGGTGGGGCACCCTGATAGCTCGCCTAGCAGAGCTGGCGCCCCTTGTATCGAGGCTGAGTCCTTGTGCCCTTTATGAAGACCAGCACTGTGTGTAACATCATGCACTATGCAATGTGTCTGTCCACTGTAGCCTGAATGTCTAGTGAGAATGTTTTAGACTAAAATTATCTCACAATGCAATGTAATACGTAATGGAAAAAACTTTAATAAAAGAAAAACAAAAAAAAACAATGGACATTCAAGAGCTACCTACACTGCCTGATGAAAGGAACGACCTGACCTCAGTAGTGTCCGAAAATAGTTTTTTCTGATCTGACACACTACATCGTCCACTACAAAATATTCCCATTATAGTGACCAATAGTGAATAAGTGATACAAGTACTCCATAATACTGTGTATAATCCTCAGATTTAAATCGTAAAGCCATACCTAAACAGATTCACCACAGAAATACAGACATGGGGTTATAATGATACTAGTGGCACATGAAGTAAGAAGTAAACGGCTGATTCTATCAATAGTCAATTGACCGTCGAGGAGAGCTTCATGGGGCTGAGAGCTTTCCTCAGAGCTAACAACTAATTATGAAAATCAATTCAGCTGTGCCGTATAAATGTATATAACAGCTGCACTGTATTATACTCAGTGCATGTTTCGACTCAATTCCTCGCTGCAGTTTACGTCTCCTGTTAAGAAAGCCAATACTGAGAGCATCGGGTAAATCTTAAAATGATCAATTTCTACTAATGTGCTTACAGTGCCGTTTTGGCAGGGGATCATCTTTCTGCTGATAAAGTACACGGGCGGTTCCAGGGTCAGTGGGTACTGGAAGCTCTCCCTGCTGGTGCTCCAGTGACGGGGGCAGTGCGCCGACCATTCTGTTGCAGCGAGGATTGGGGTTTAATACAAAATACCAAAAGTGATGAGTAGTGAAAGTTCAGGGCTTTGCTTTGAAGATTCAAGACTTAAGCTCTGTAATGCCACCCCTGGCACCACCTATTATTAAGTATCCATTAGCTACAGCCCCATCTGAAAGAGTAAAAAAAAAAACTCACAGTTGGTGTAATGCACTGTCCTGAGTTAGAGTAAAAACTGTTAGTAAAATTAAAGAAGTTTGACCCTTCA